AATGCCAACTAATTACTGGTGTACCACTGAAATAGTGCACATTATACAGAACGCTCAGTCGACGGTTTTTGTCCTCTTTGAATTAGATGTGACTACTTTGTGTATATTTTAAACGAAATAGTTCTTTTCTTATGCATACTGTGAATAAAGACAATACTGTAGATCACCAGCATTATATTGAAAATCATCTCAAGTCTTTTATCAAAGAAATAATAAAAATAAAGATAGCCATACATTACGAAAAGTTTAAAGTTACTTATTGATAATAGTCTACTTCATGCTCATTCTTCCAAATAGCTTAGTTGTGATTACCTAGATGCAAATCAGGCATGTTACAATAACAAAACAATATTGGGCTATTGGTATTGTGATATACCTAGCACGAATGATAAGAATCAATGGTCTAAAACGTTTCAGTCTTATTTTAATTCATAATGACACAAACATTTAATTCTTTCAAGTATATATCCTCTAAGACATATTTCAAATCATGCTAATACGAATATTATTCGTTTGATCAAGATATTTCTCTACAATTCATTGTGCTTCTTATCCTATCGATCTTATTTTTTTTTTGTTAACAGCAACAGTACCTAAAACAAAGAATCCCGAAATCGATGCCTTCTTCGATCCTATAGGAAATCATAGAGAGTCTTATAGCTTCCAACAAATAAAAGTTACTAGATGCAACAAGAGTCTGATAGAATCATGCTGATATTTTCGAACGATATCTACCCCGAAGCAGATTATAATGAATGTAAACAAGTTTGTTTATTTGATTATTTAACTCATCATCTAAAAGTATGGTTGCTGAACCAGATTCTAAATTAGAAAAGTGTCTTCAATAGAGTTTTATAGCCTAGATAAATTGCATACAGGTTGATTCTCACGGAAAAACACAGGAAATCAATGGAACTTGAAAGTATTATTTCAAGTCAGACAATTTACGTATTGTTTTGATGACTTCAGTCAATATATTATTCTTGTCGGCGAGAAACGATACGCAGTTATCGAATAAATTCTTATAAATTCTAATTAAATATACTACTTACCAGTTCAGTCAATTTCCTTCGTTTTTTTTTTGTCACATATGATGATTTTTCCAGTCGTTACCGCCAACATTTGCTTTTTTTTCTGGCGTTCGGAATTATCAAGCTGATATGGCATGTTATTAAATGACATAGTGTTATAAATTATATGCTAACTTCAAGACATATACGAGAACAAATTTTCAAGCTGCCTATCTAAATGATGAAATTAAAATCTTCGTTATGAATTGAATATGTAAACTAGCAAAATAAAAGAAATGAATATATTTGTTGTAAAACTAATGAATCGATTAATTCTGATTTACCATGTTCTGCAAACTTTATTGCTTCTATATCATTTCCTGTTGCAGAAGCTCGTACTTGGGAAAAACGTTTCAGTTTTTGAAAAAAGCTTGTGCATAAGAATATTTTCTTGTTGAACTATTTGTTACATCTTGTGAAAATCGTTCAGAAACATAAAAAAGCATTGTAGGATGTGCGATGAAGATTAAAGTCTACAGATTTTGTCTACAATTTTACAATGAGATCATAATGCTTAGAAGAATTACAAAATCTAAGTCTAAACTATAATATAAATATTCAGATCGATCATTTCAGAAGTTCGTAATTGTATCGTAAACGGCAATAAAATGCTAAAAATGATGGTATAATTATACCATAGATTCACAGGAAATTAAAGTTATTTCCGTCTAATAAATCATCTATAGCTGTCTTTCATCATTATACATTTACTCCATTTTGTTGCCTATAGTTTTTCTTACTCTTTTTAGTTCTTTTGGTCATTTTACTCCTTTTACTTTTAAAATCTTTTCTTCTTTGTCTTAATTTTAATCTGTTCTGTTCTTGTCACATACTCGGTTGTAGACAAACATTATGTCCTTGACAAGTATTGTGGTTTTTTACATGCTCAAATATAACGAGTTTTGTGTAAACGGCAGGAATGCTGAATTCCGAGACAAACAAATTCGAAAAACAAAGGATGAAATAAAAAATGAAAAACATCTTACTCGTTTAATTTCTAAACCAATAAGAGAAAGATGACATCTAATCATCGAAAACTTCTACGATAAAATAAACATTCAGTAGAACACACAATAGTTGCGTTCTAGAAAATAACTAGAGAAGTGATATTCATGGAAGGATAAAAGAGTAAATGAAGTACAAAGACTAAAAGGATCAGTTTAGTTTATAGCTGTAAATATAAGTTAGACCAGGATAGAGGGAAAAATACACTTATCGACCCCCCCCCCCCCTCTTCATGTATTGACTCCAATTCGACTAATTAGCTCCTGGGGGGGAGGTGAGTGTGGGGTGTGGGTGCGAATGTAGGTGTGGATGTGGGTGTGAGTGGGGTGTGAATGCAGGTGTCGATGTGGGTCTGAGTCTGGGTCTGGATCTGGGTGTTGGTGTGGGCGTGAGTTCATCTTATCTAGACATTCATCCACACCCACACCCACACCTCTCTAGGGGCTAATCAGTCGAATTGGGTTAATACATGAGTGGGGTCGATAAGTGTATTTGTCCCATTTTATCGATTTTTATTGAATAACAGTTAGCAATAAGCGCTATCGAAGTCTATTTATTGATTAAAGTGAATAATGCATTGATACAATCGAGAAAACGAATAATAACTCCTATGAGATTTTCTTATTATTACTTTCATAAGAATTTTAATCTTTTGAAAAGATTTTATGTCAATAATAGTTCAGATCGATTTGTAGACTTGAGATAGCCTAGTTAGAAATGAAGCATAACAACACTGTTTGTTTGCTTTCTCCCTACATCAATTATCTTATCTTTTCTCTTTCTTCACAATACC